CTCCAGTAGAGTCACGCATGGAGTATCTGCCATTTAGAGAGAAAGTAGAAGGTAGTGAAGCCAGGATGGAAACCACATCTTTCTAACTCCAAATTGGACCTATGTTTGTGTTTTGTACAGGTCCTGCTCCTTTTCCATAGGAATGACAAAGAGAGAACATTGTGAGAGCACTGCACACACGTGGGGGTCACAGTGAGATGCAATGGGAAAACAGTGGCAACAGGACAAGCTTTAGGGAGTTGAGAAATAGGAAAGTTGCTCCTCTCCTTCTTTAGGGGCTTGGGTCACGAGCCATTCATTTCTTTTTTTTTTGTTTTGTTTTGTTTTTTGGTTTTTCTCCGGTACCAGGAACCGAACTCACGACCTTGCGCTTGCCAGGCAGGCGCTTTTGCCGCTGAGCTAAATCCCCAGCCCCATGAGCCATTCATTTCTGAACCCCTCCCTTGGCCAGACACAGACAGAGAATGCACAGAAATGTTTATTGCTCTGGAGGAGATCACCTTTTCTAAAGCCCTCATTTTATGTATGTGAAAACTGAGGTTCAGAGACCCAAAATCACAGCAAGAGAGCAACAAGGCTGGTCCAAGAGCCAGGACTCTCAGTTACCAGGCAGGGCTCAGGCCTTTGCAGTAGGCTGGTTGCAAAAATAACCTCCGCTCTCACCCCTCATTGGCAAGGGCCTTGGATGAGGGCCTGGCCTTCTCTGACTCTCAATTTCCTTGTCAAAAGGGCATAACCAGCCCCAGCAAGGCTGTGGAGTGATAGGAGATGAGGTATGTATGATGCAGCCTCAGGCTGGACATTTAGTGCCTGGTCTTTCTGTCCTCTCTCTGGCACAGTAACTGACTCTTACACAATCCCAACAGGAAAATCCCACCAAAGAAATGATTGCCTAGGGCCGGGGATATAGCTCAGTGGCATAAGTGCCTGCCTGGCAAGCGCAAGGTCCTGAGTGATTCCTGGTACCAAAAAAAAAAAAAAAAAGATTGCCTAACAATATTGTTAGCAGTCCAAGGTAATAAAAACCCCTATAACATGTAATTCAAAAATAAAATCACTCCAGGCGTGGTGGCGCATGCCTGTAATCCCAGTACTCAGGAGGCTGAGGCAGGAGGATCATTGTGAATTTGAGGCCAGCCTGGGCTGCCAAGTTGAGTTCAAGACCAGCCTGAACTGCATAGTGAGACCCTGTCTCAAAAAGACAAAAAAATCACTTTTCTGAACCACAAAATAAAGATGAAGCAAGGCAAACTGTTCTGATTTTTACCACGATGCTATATCAATGCTTTTTTAAATGTCGAGTACTGAATTCTTTTAAAAACACTTCTGGTGCTTCTATCTATGATAGGTTATGCACATGCTTTGTCTGTTGTACAGGTCTTCTCCACCATCACAGCAGTTAAGGGAAATGCAGAGCTTTAGAGATTTAGGGTGACCACTATGATCTCAACTGGTTGCTCTATCTTGTGGTCCTAAATACGTGGGGCAGCCCAGGTGCACGGTTGAGCAATTCCTGGCTCAGACTAGGTTGCTAATCCAGCCTTTCTGATAGTCTGGATCTAATTCTATCACCCACTTACTGTGTGATATTGGGGAAACTTCAGCTTGTTTCTGGGCCTCCCCTCTGTATCCCCATCTATATAATAAAGGAATTAGACTAAAATAATATAATCACTAATGCCTCCATTCTTATTTTATGATTCATCAGCAAAATGAGGCAAAGTTGAGGGAGCTGCATTTCTCGCTCCTGTCTCTGCAGCACCGAGCTTCTGGGAAGAGTGGTGGTGCATTATTAAATAGAAACAATCACACCCCATTACTTCCCTGAAAGTGCTCCAGATCTGGTGGAGCCAGAGATACATAAATAGACTAGGACAATCCAATGTGATCATAATGATGACCAAGGGAAGCACAGGAGCTCCGAAAGCTCAGAAAAGAGGCCAGGAGCCAGACAAAACCAGCAAAGTCCTTTTGGAGGAGGTAATATTTGAGCTGCATTTGGTAAATGCCAAAGGTAAGAGCAAGGAGTTGCCATTGGCTGGGAAAGGGAGAAGTAAGGCTGCAAAAAGATGGGCTTTGAATGGCAGGCCATGGAATCATCTTCTCCCGTGATAACCATGAACACTGTGTGGGATCCAGGACACCAGCTATGAATTGGTTGGTTGATCTTGAAAAGATACACTCCATTTCTGGGCTTCAGACTCAGCATCTGTCTCCTCTGCTGTTTAATAGAAACAAGGCAGAAGAGGGGGGAAAGAGTACACTTACACTCAGCTCTGTATTCCTGCCCCTCCACCCCCAACTCAGCCTAACTCAGTGACATTCAATCCAGAGAGGACTTCTGTGAGATGTTCAGGTAAGTGTAGTTTGGATCTCTTTGGGTGTTAGAAGACAAGGACATAGGCTTAAGTTCTTTTCAATCTTCACCTCTGTACTGATTTGTAATACCATAGATTTCTTTGGTCTATCAGTTAACATCAATTAAATCACACAGAGTGTACTCTTTTATATCTTTTCAGAATTAATTTTACATATTTATTATTAATTTTTTCAGGTCTCTGATCCTTCTTCTGTTGTTTTCGGTTTGGTATTACACCCATCCAGTGAGTTCTTAATTTCAAATACTGATATTTTAGTTGTAGAATCTTTGATATTTTAATAGATTCCAATTTTCTATTGAAATTCCCCATTTTTAATCCATTCTGCCAACATTTTGCTCTATGTCATTTCACATCTAAACATAATTATATTTAAGTCTTTTTTGCTAATACAGGTACTGGGATAATCTGTATATCAACTTTTGTAACATATTTTCCCTCTTGATTATTAGTCGTATTTCCCTGCCTTTTTCAAATCTAACCAGTTTTATTATGGACTGAACATTATATATAATAGGCTCATAAAGGCCTTTGATAACATCTCTCACTTGGTATATTTTCTCTCTTTTCTCTGTTTGGAAGGCAGAGTAAGGAACTGATCACCTCAAGCCAATTAATGTGAGAGTTAGGTTAGGGCTGAGTTTCAGTTGTAACAGAGTTTAGTCTAACTTTAGTTTGTCCTATTCCTAAAGTATGGCTCTGTTGGGTTTTGGACTGATAATCTGACTGGTCTCTGTCTCCTTTGCCTGGAAAGACCACGGGAGATTTGCTTCTTCTTTCTGGAGGGTTTCAGTAGGTCCTTTAGCTATCCCATCTACCCCTCCTCAATGCTATGCCCCACATACATGTCTAGCTTCAAGTGTCCAAGAAACATTTTGAGAAGGTCAGTGTGAGTGGGGCACACCCCACACACGTCTTTTAAGCATTATGGTAACACAGGGACAGATAGGAGAGCACATGAGGGCATAGAAACCCGGTTCTGCCCTGAAACCTCCCATTAGCCCATCTCTGATACTCACTCCTGTGGGTGAAGAGCCTAATGACAAAAGCATGGTCCCAAGAATAGGGAAAGTCTCCAGATTCAGGCAGACACAGGTGAGCACTAGACCCCAAGGGCAATCAAGTCTTGGTGCATACGGATTGCATCTCATGAATCTAATTAAAAACAGAGGCATCATGGAAGGAACATGTACAGAACCCCAAATATTATGTATGAGAGCTGCCCACCATACTCCCCACACAACCTGAAACCTCCCCATACTGGGAGGAGCAAAATGAGGATCACTGGAAAACCACACCAGAGCCTCAGCGCTCTGCCTTCTTCTACTGGCCCCACCTGCTCAGCCTCCCTGAGCATGCTTCTGCAATCTAACTCAAGTGCTCAATTTCAATTCTTTCTTGCTGACATCAAGAACCTGGAAAAGAGGGCCTGATATGCCCCCAGACATTAACAATGGGATCGCAGGAGATTTTATTCTTTCCAAAGTCCTCAGCCTAACTGTTCTGCCTCCTTTTCATAGCCTCAGAATCCAGAAGAGATTCTGTGGGAGGAAACTTGTAGTGCATTTAAAGTGCTTTAAATTTCAAATCTATTTTGATGGACAAAAAGCTTGCTGGCTTCTCTCTTATACATGTCCCTCTGCCTGGCCCAAGTACAAGCCACACAGTTGTCCCAGGTGAGATGTTCCCAGAGAAGCAAAGTGCCGGTGACTGTCAGGTCACTTTTCAGGGGGCCCAAACTGTGCGGCTTCACTTCATCTCTTCTTTATTGCCCTTACATTTCTCCAATTTGTTTTTCTTTTTCTTCTTTTTTTTTGGTACCAGGGACCAAAGTCAGGAGCTTGTGCTTGCCAGGCAGGCACTTGAGCAGCTGAGCCGTATTCCCAGCCCTCTCCAATTTGTTTTTAAACTGGGATTCATGTAATTTATTCAGGCTTTCTGAATTGTTTCTGTGGAAGCATTGGGCTATCATGGCCTGTTACATCCTTTCTAGAAGCAGAAGCTCAGACAACCAGCTTACATGGAGTCAGGAAGAAGCACGACTCCAGGAATACAAGAGAGGAAGCAGCTTAATAAATATGTGAGCGGCAGCATATTGCAGAGAACTTTGGAGAAAGCAGCTCTTCCAAAGACGCATGGTAATTTTGAGTGAGTGCAAAAATAGAGACAAAACTTAAGGCTTGATTTAAGGAATCTGAAAACCCAGGCCACGTACCCTAGAACCTGAAATGAGGACCAGAGATGTCTTTCCATAGCATTTCACAATACTAACAATTCACTAATCAACTGTTAAAATATGATTTTCTCAGTAAAATGTAAACTCTAGGAAACAAGAATTGTGCCTTTTTTTTCACTTTCATCTCAATCACCTAAACAGCATAAAGCCTCCCACTTAGTAGGCTATTAACTAAGTGATAAATATTTGTAAAACTTTGGGTTTACAAGGTGGAAGTAAACACCACAGACCACCACCAATTTTTAGAGTTGTTTGTAAATAATTATGTATATATGAACTATAAACATTATAGAATTTTTACTGTCTTTGTTTCTTTGGCTTTCAGATTCTCCTGATGTACAAATATTCTAGCTACCTGTCTCCCTGAAATCCAGCTCTGTCTCACTATGAAGGAAACAACCTGTAATGGATCAGTACATGGTTCACCCATCTTCTACCTGGTGGGCATACCCTCTCTTCCAGAGACTTTCTTCCTGCCTGTATTTTTTATTTTCCTCCTCTTCTATCTTCTCATCCTTATGGGTAACACCCTGATCCTGGTGGCCGTGGTAGCAGAACCCAGTCTCCATAAGCCCATGTACTTCTTTCTGATCAATCTCTCAGCACTGGACATCCTTTTCACCACAACCACTGTCCCCAAGATGCTGTCCCTGTTCCTGCTTGGGGACCACTTCCTTAGCTTTCCTTCATGCTTATTGCAGATGTACCTCTTCCAAAGCTTTACATGCTCTGAAGCCTTCATCCTAGTGGTGATGGCCTATGACCGCTATGTAGCCATCTGCCGCCCACTGCACTACCCGGTCCACATGACTCCACAGACCAATGCTGCGCTGGCAGCCAGTGCCTGGCTCATTGCCCTCCTCCTGCCCATCACAGCAGTGGTAAAGACCTCCAAGATGGCATATAACAACATTGCCTACATCTACCACTGCTTCTGTGACCACCTGGCTCTGGTCCAGGCTTCCTGCTCTGACACCACCCCCCAGACCCTCATGGGCTTCTGCATTGCCATGGTGGTGTCCTTCCTCCCCCTCCTCCTGGTGCTTCTCTCCTATGCCCACACTCTGGCCTCAGTGCTTCGCATCAAATCCCAAGAAGGACATGCAAAGGCCTTCTCCACCTGCAGCTCCCACCTCCTGGTGGTGGGCACCTACTACTCATCCATTGCCGTAGCCTATGTGGCCTACAGGGCTGACCTGCCCCTCGACTTCCACATCATGGGCAATGTAGCCTACGCTATCCTTACACCAATCCTCAACCCACTCATTTATACCCTGAGAAACAAGGATGTCAAGGCAGCCATCACCAAAATTGTGTATCTCAAAACCCAGGTTGTAACAGGTTCATTTGATCTTTAAATGCAGCTCATTCTGCTTCTAGGATACCAAATAACAAGGCTTAGCACAGAGTAGAATCTCAATACATATTGTTGAATGAATAAATTTATGAATATAAAATAAAATTCAGTTAGACAGCTCCAACAGTGATTTTCATACGTTGATCCCATACTCTCCTTCTGACACAGTGGAACAATGTTAATCTTATTGTACTATTTGTGGTGCTGGGGATTGAAGTCAGGGCCCTCCCAATGCTAGGCAAATCCTCTACTGTGAAGCTATACCCTCAAAATTAATTTTCACTCTATAGAAGTCTAGGTTGTTCTATACAAATTTTACTAAAGCAAAAAACTATATGCATGGGGAAAATAAAAACACGACAAACAAACAAAAAGCAACTCATAAGCAAAGTCAAACAAGTAAAAGGCATACCACAGGAAAAAGAGTACTTAAATATACAAACAGCTGTTGAACTTTAGAAGAAAAAAATCTAACATTTCAATATAAAATGGCAAAATATGTGAGTAGACAAATTACCATTCAATCAACTATCTAAAATGAATACACATTAAAACTATGCTATTATGTTATTTTTCACTTAATGATATTTGCAAAAATCTAATGTGTTGACAGCATGCATATGGAAAAACAGTTGTTTCATAACCACTTTCAAGGATACTGCAGTATCTATCCAAAGCACATATGCACCAACCCTTTGACTCAGCAATCTTACTTCTAGAAATCTATTTGAAAGATTCACTGGAAATCTTTTCTTAGGTTACTTGTTCATCAATAGGGAAAAAGTTGAATAATCTGTAAAAATATTCAATACAACTCTAAAGAATAAAGGGGGAAGTTCTTTACATACTGACATGAAGTCATCTCTATATGTTGCTTGGCTTGATGCTATGTCTTATACGTCATCCTTAAGTAAAATCAGCAAGCTGTGGAATAGCGTTTCTATATGAAAAGAGGTAATTTGCTTAAATATTCATGAAAAGAAATATCCTGTAGCTCAGTGGCATAGCACCTGCCTGGCAAGTGCAAGGTTCTGAGTTTAATTCCCAGTACCAAAAAAAGGAGAAACACCCTGGCTACCTATAAAAAGAAAGCAGGAAGAGGGTGTGCATGATTTTGGGGATAAGTGTGGAAGAAAGATCAACTTAAATACACATCCTATGTATATATGTATATAAAATTCTGTATACAGTGGTACATGTGGAGGAGGTTATGCATGTATGGAGATGTGGTAAGTGGGAGCTGTCTTTACTTTCCACTTAATGTTTCTGTAAACCTAAAACTGCTCTAAACATAAAGTTTATGAATTTAAAAATAGTAATTATCAGTTAGTTTGCAAAATATCCTTCAAGCTGGAATTTTTTCATGAGGGCCTGAGGTTATAGATTTTAGAGTACTACAAAGGTTATGTTTTCAGCTTGCTACATTGTGTTCATCCCTACAGAGGGAAAATGACATAAATAGAATTTATTAAGAATTATGTTGTCCAGTATATTGCTACGTTTTGCTTAATAAGCAACTGATCAACTGTTTTAAAAAATGGCTATGCTATTTTGCATTCCCACCAGCAATAAATGGAGTTCCTGTTCTGTATTTTCACCAGCATTTACTATGTCCTTTTTGTTGTTCTTATTCTTTAATTTTAACTATTCTGATAGATATTAGTCAGATCTCATTGTGACTGTAATTTCAATTTCATTAAATTTTTCTATGACTAATGATGTTGAACAACTTTCATGTGCTCATTTTCTACAATATATCTTGTCTGATGAAGTCTGTTGAAATCCTTTGGGTTATTTTCATACTATTGAATTTTAGGAGTCCATTATATATTCTAGATACAAGTCCTTTATCAGATAGTTATGCAAATAGTTTCTGCTAGGCAGTGACTGGTCTTTGCACTGTTTTACAAAGTGCACTGTTTTACCTTTGCTCTCTTTTGGAGAGCAAACGATTTTTATTTTAACAGAGTCCAATTTAACCCTTTTTTCTTTATGGATTATGCAACTCAATATTCCTAAGTATACATCACAAAGCCAAAGACCATGAAGAGTTGGCCCTATGAAAAACAGAAAGTTTCTAGAAGTTTTTGGTGTGTTCTTTTCATTTCTATTTCATGACTGTCAACAACTTTGAGTTAATTTTTGGATAAGTTGTGAGTTTTAGGTTGAAAATTTTTTTCCATGAGGAAATCTGATTGCTCCAAACTCCAAAGCCTGTTCCTTATCTATTAAATTGCCTTTATACCTTTGTCAGATATCAACTGACTATATTTCCATGCGTCTTTTTGCAGGCTTTTTGCTCTGTTCCACTAATATATATGTCTGTTCTTTCACCAATGCCACAGTGTCATGATTATTCTAACTTCACTGTTAGTGTTGAAACTGGGTAGTATAAATCCTCCAGCCATTTTATTCTTTGGCTCTCCTAGGTTCTTCACCATGTAGTATTACTTTTGGAACCACCTCACTGGGATTTTGATTAGGATTATGTTGAATCTATGGGTCAAATCTGGAACAAATGGCATTTTAACAATGTCAAATCTTCCAATACAAAAGCATGGTACATTTTAGTTCTTTGATTTTGTTCTCTTTTTTTAGTTTTAAGTGAATAGATATTATATATATTTTGTTAGAATTATATCTGGGAACATTTTTCTACTAGTCTATTACAATAGGGGGATTATTGTTTTGTTTTGTTTTCTGTTTTGAGACAGGGTCTCACTATGTAGCACAGGCTGGTTTCTAACTTGGAGCGATCCTCCTGCCTCAGGCTTCAAAGTGCTGGGATTAGAAGTATGCTTGCTACCAGGGACAACAGCACGTTTTATAAGGAAGTTTAGGTAGGGGAGGGGACACTGCTGAAGGGGTTTCAAAATTTGGGATCTCTGAGTAGGCGATCTGGGACTGACTGATAAACAGGGCAGTGTTGGGTAGAGGAGGGTGATTGCAGGCATAGCACGCCTCTTGTGGTTTTCACCAAATCAGCTCTCTGCAGGTTGAGTTGTGTGGGGCAGCTGCTAGCTGGTTGAGCTGCAGCTTTCTGTTAACACTGTGCCCCTGCAGGAGTGAATAACAGATCTGCTTGGGGAGGTTTTCTCTTCTGTCTGGGCAGGGGTCTAGCCTGGAGACCTGACAGCGTTAAAATTGCCCATAGAATACATCATTTGGGAAATGAACTCAGACTCCAATTTGATAGGCAGGCTCTTGACCATTCATTCATCCTGTTATAGAATGCCATGGCCAGTCTAGTTTATTTTTTCTTCTTCTTTTTTTTTTTTTTTTGTCTTTTTGAGACAGGGTCTCACTGTGCATTTCAGGCTGGCCTTGAACTCACTTATGTAGCTCAGGCTGGCCTCAAATCTGCAACGATCCTCCTGTCTCAGCCTCCCAAGTGCTAGCATTACAGGAGTGTGCCACCACACCCGCAGTCTAGTTGGTTTTTGACTTCTAGTTGGCCAACCTAGTACTGAAGATTTTCAACCTAGTATTGAAGATTTTCACTCTGTGCTACATAGTGAGACCCTGTCTAGTATTGAAGATTTTCAACCAAGAAATAATCAACTTTCACTTCAATGAGTACATTTTTTAGTTTTCCTAAAATTACTCTAAGGCTACAAATGTTTTAAAAAGTTTGTCTTTGCTTGTTAGGAAAATATCTCCAAGGTTATATACAATAGCTGGGTAGATCACCTCATCACCAACTACTCTTCATTTACTGGCATTCCATCTTGCAATCTGATTCTACACATGGCCATCCTTTAACCCAGACTCAAACACCCCTTATCTTCTTTATTTTACCTCTTTTTTCCTCTAGATAGTTTTTATTAAAACAAAAACATTGAGGTTAAGTATTCAAACAACAAAATGCACCATTTTAAATGTACAATTTGATGAGTTTTGACAGGTATGTACACCCACGAGACTTCTATCCCAATCAAGAAATAGAGTCTCTCCACCAACTCCACTGTATCCTTTCCTAATCCCTCTTCCCAATTCTGGTTCCGTAATACTCCTGATGTCATCTCTGTCTCTTCTGATTAAATTTGTGTTTTGTTGGAGTTTTATATCATTGGGATAATACAGTCTTATTTTATTTGAAAATGATATTTTAGGGCCTGGGATGTAACTCAGTGGCACAACACCTGCCTGGCAAGTGCAAGGTCATGAGTTCGATTCCTAGTACCCCCACACACACACAAAAAAAGATAAAATGGTATTTTTAAAAAATCATCCATGTTGTTATTATGTAAACAGTTCATTCCTTTTATTGCTAGAATTATTTCATTGTATGGATATATATGTTCTTTTACCAATTGATGATCATTTAAGTTGTTGGCTATTATAAACAAAGCCTCCAAGAACATTTTGTACATATACTTTCATTTCACTGGCAAATGCATAAGAGTGGAATCACTTTGTTATAGGGCATGTTTAATTTTAAAGTATCATTGCAACTTCTTTCCAATATGTTATATTCCCACATGCAATGTGTTGTTATTCCAGTTGCTCCATATTCTCCCCATTACTTGATATTTTCAGTCTAAAAATTTTGCCATTTTAATAAACGTGTAGCAGTAGCCCCTTGTGGTTTTATTTTGTACATTTGTGGAGTGCACCTTTTCACATGCCTATCAGCCCTTCACGTACCTTGCTTTTATAGTGTCTCTTCAAATATTTTACATATTATAAAAATGAATTGTTTATTTCTTTTTAATGAGATGTATGTAGAGGTTTTTATATATTTCAAATACAAATCTTTTGTCATATATTATTTTCTCATTTTTAGCTTCTCTTTAGCTTCACTTTCTTTTTTAAAAATTAGTTTATATTTGTGAAACATAATATTTACATTTACTTTGGGGAATTGATATATATCTATCATATCATATCTTGGCTATGTAATCCAGGTTGGCCTTGAACTCACTATGTAGCCCAGGCTGGCCTCAAACTCAAATCCTTCTACCTCATAGCCCAAGTGCTGGTGATATAGAGCTATAACTC